TAATATATTTACGTATTTTGTCGTCGAACTTTCGCCAAACGTGCTAGTGCTGCGCGTATGTGTTCATACAGGCACCTAACTTACGTCGAGTATGTCCTATACATTTTGYGGTCTAGACCTGCTGCGAAAGCGGAACACACGCACACCCATGGCACGTAAATACTACACGTTTGCATGTGTGGGTGAGTGAGCGGTTGGGTTGTGTGGAGAGGTTGACGACGCGAGCATGATGCGACCACGACCGCGGTAACGCGATATTGCTCGATCTCTGTYTTTKACCGTATATCCTCAGCTATAAATAATAATAGTAATAACTAATAAGTAATAACAGTAATAATAATATTATATATAGGTACACTCGGCCAGCTCGCGGTTTATTACGCGTACGTGTATTTTGCGGTCGCGTTAAATTACAATACCTGTGTACCCATCATCTGTATATATTACACGTATTTTAATATACATATATTTTGTAGCTATAAATACGGTGTATATATATACTAACCATCGCGCGCCACCGCTGTTTGTTTTTTCACCTGCACGTCGGACGCGTATTGTTTACAGCTGCGGCGACACGCTTGCGGTATTTATAATGCATTATTATTCATATAAATCATGAGTATAACAAAAAAAAAAAATGTATATATAGGTATATATACATACATAACCTCGGTGACAGGTCGCCGTGGGTCCGTTACGAGTTGCGACTTTACAAGGTGTATACGAGTACTCTACTCGTTCTCATATGTCAACATTTTAGCTTACTGCAATATACTTCTATAATAGTAGGTACTAAATATAATTGGTATAAATAAAGTTCCGTGTGTCGTCCGCAATAATAGTTCATATTAAAAATCCGACTAGAAAAATGGTATCTGGCACGCCGTCATACGCACGCATGCAGTATATGTTTTACAAATGAAATCTTTCCAACCGCCCAAAAAAATAAATAATTAAATTGAATTGAATATTTTCTATCTGCACTGAAGTTGGCTRTAGATATATTACAAGGACAACGCTGGTATCACGCAATGTAACGGTGATTGCTATTTTTTATTCT